TCTGTTCATCACCCACAATCAACAACATATATAACTACCACAATACACCAGTCTGTTCATCACCCACAATCAACAACATACATAACTACCACAATACACCAGTCAATCATCAACAACATACATAACTGCCACAATACACCAGTCTGTTCATCATCCACAATCAACAACATCAGAATACAAACATACACAACTCTCACCCACAATACCACAATACACCAGTCTGTTCATCACCCACAATTCATCACCATCAAATCAACAACATACATAACTACCACAATACACCAGTCTGTTCATCACCCACAATCAACAACATACATAACTGCCACAATACACCAGTCTGTTCATCATCCACAATCAACAACATACACTAACTACCCACAATACACCAGACTGTTCATCACCCACAATCAACAACATACATAACTACCCACAATACACCAGTCTGTTCATCATCCACAATCAACAACATACATAACTACCACAATACACCAGACTGTTCATCACCCACAATCAACAACATACATAACTACCCACAATACACCAGACTGTTCATCATCCACAATCAACATACAACTACATACACACTGTTCTATCAATGCAATCCACACATACACCAACTGTTCACTACACATCATCAACAACATACATAACTACTACACAATACACCAGTCTGTTCATCACCCACAATCAACAACATACATACCAGACTGTTCATACCCACAATACAATACCAGACAGTCTGTTCATCATCCATAATCAATCAACAACATCCACATATACTACCCACATCCACAATGCACCAGACAATCAATCAACAACATACATAACTACCACAATACACCAGTCTGTTCATCATCCACAATCAACAACATACATAACTACCACAATACACCAGACTGTTCATCATCCACAATCAACAACATACATAACTACCACAATACACCAGACTGTTCATCATCCACAATCAACAACATACATAACTACCCACAATACACCAGTCTGTTCATCATCCACAATCAACAACATACATAACTGCCCACAATACACCAGACTGTTCATCACCACAATCAACAACATACATAACTACACCACAATCAACAATATCACCAGTCTGTTCATCATCCACAATCAACAACATACATAACTACTACACAAATACACATACTGTTCATCACCCACATCATCAACAACAACACAGACTGTTCATCATAACTACCCACAATGCCACAATAATACAACAACATCAACAACATACTGTTACACCAGTCTGTTCATCATCACAATCAACAACATACATAACTACCACAATACACCAGACTGTTCATCATCCACAATCAACAACATACATAACTACCACAATACACCAGTCTGTTCATCACCCACAATCAACAACATACATAACTACCCACAATACACCAGTCTGTTCATCACCCACAATCAACAACATACATAACTACCCACAATACACCAGACTGTTCATCAATACACCAGTTCCACAATCAACAACATACATAACTACCACAATACACCAGACTGTTCATCACCCACAATCAACAACATACATAACTACCACAATACACCAGTCTGTTCATCACCCACAATCAACAACATACATAACTACCCACAATACACCAGACTGTTCATCACCCACAATCAACAACATACATAACTACCACAATACACCAGTCTGTTCATCATCCACAATCAACAACATACATAACTACCCACAATACACCAGACTGTTCATCATCCACAATCAACAACATACATAACTACCACAATACACCAGTCTGTTCATCATCCACAATCAACAACATACACCACTGTTCATCACACAATACACCAGTCTGTTCATCATCCCACAATTCATCACAACAATCAACACATAACTACCCACAATACACCAGACTGTTCATCATCCACAATCAACAACATACATAACTACCCACAATACACCAGACTGTTCATCATCCACAATCAACAACATACATAACTACCCACAATACACCAGTCTGTTCATCATCCACAATCAACAACATACATAACTACCCACAATACACCAGACTGTTCATCATCCACAATCAACAACATACATAACTGTCACAATACACCAGACTGTTCATCATCCACAATCAACAACATACATAACTACCACAATACACCAGACTGTTCATCATCCACAATCAACAACATACATAACTACCCACAATACACCAGACTGTTCATCATCCACAATCAACAACATACATAACTACCACCAGACAATACACCAACATACATAAGACTGTTCATCACCCACAATCAACAACATACATAACTACCCACAATACACCAGACTGTTCATCACCCACAATCAACAACATACATAACTACCCACAATACACCAGTCTGTTCATCACCACAATCAACAACATACATAACTACCACAATACACCAGACTGTTCATCATCCACAATCAACAACATACATAACTACCACAATACACCAGACTGTTCATCATCCACAATCAACAACATACATAACTACCCACAATACACCAGTCTGTTCATCACCCACAATCAACAACATACATAACTACCACAATACACCAGACTGTTCATCACCCACAATCAACAACATACATAACTACCACAATACACCAGTCTGTTCATCACCCACAATCAACAACATACATAACTACCACAATACACCAGACTGTTCATCACCCACAATCAACAACATACATAACTACCACAATACACCAGACTGTTCATCGCCACAATCCACAATCAATAACATACGTATTCACCCCCAATACTATTTTTAAGTACAAGAAGAAAGTTGGGGAATAATGTTTATACAGGTTATTGTCATTCGGTTGTAATGTCTTGGAACGAACTTTCTTTCTATTGACTACTAACATACTTGCATATGCTACTGAACTTATAATGAATCTCGGTGCCTTCAGTCAACCAGCATCAGCATCGATCCAGCTGAATTAAATATGGAACGTCGATACAAAAGAATACCAAATCCTGACTATCCTCAGAAACAAATTCCGGTCTTTGTTGATAAGATGATCGTGCATCTAAACATTCTGATGGGGCGGTGATAGGATGTCTGGAGGTTATTAATATTGTTATACACACAGCACTCTGGTGAATTGGAGATGCAGGTCTATGGAAATGAGTGTGTAGCTTCCAATACGTTTTGATAGAAACCCTATTCGGTTGACTGTTGCTGTGTCATTTTACATCATGGTACCTTAAAGTCTTAACGCGAAACGTCTACAAACTAAGTGGTTGCTGAATATGTATATATATTATTGTTCACATTGATTTTATACATAATACACATTAAAAATAACCCACATATTTAATAAGCATATCAGGCAATACATGCCTAAGTGTGGTTAAAAAGAAAATGTAGTTTATCTTCAAATATGGAAATCTCAGTGAAAGTAACAAATATCAACCATATTATATGATAAAACAGTATCATACATATACACATATAATGGCTTTGCAAGTATTTCAAGTATTACACACGATCCCGATCCAAAAACATTTTTTTCTCTAAAATCAATAGCCATAAAGAAAATTATTTCTTAAGGATTTCCGCGAGTCCAAAACATACTATTTAAAGGGTAGCGCTGATTCATTCTTTAAATAAGATAAGCAGTATAAACTATTTTAGTTTAAGCATATTAAAACAAATATCTAGGAGAAAGAAAACATTCCGAAGGCAATATTACTCAAATGACATTTACAGGTATTCTGCAAAAAACAAGAGTAAATAGGTGAGTTATCATTATAAATTGTAGATATGTTCTAACACCCATGAAGATCCGCGATAGAATTGATCTTCAACAACCCATGGGTTGGTTAATTGGGTTGTCAAAGATGGAAACGTTGAATTTTCACTCAATGTCCTTTCATATATCCGTATCAATATCATTCCATGCTTAGTCCAAATAGTCCAGACAACATCGAAGAAAGAGAGACAGATCTATCTTGTGAAGAATGAGATGTCAGTTAGAGAACGAAGTTTGGTGTTAAATGCTATGTAATTGGTTTGGATCTAGTTTAGAAAACTGAGAAATAATCATTCTTGTGTAAAATGAAGAGTGACACTTAAATTTTAACATTTAGAATAGGGCTAAAACTAAATTTTCTCTGAACAAACTAATGTTGCGTGTATTGCATTAAATGTTTCTATGGATATCTGGTTTCAGCTGATACCGTTTGAGGATGCCACATTAATTAACTTTTAGTTATTATGGGTCACAAAAGTTAAAAGTGCTGAATGTGGATTTGAACTTCGACATTGTATTGAACCTAGGCTATATACTTTCACCTGTTAAGAGTAAGCTGAAGAGTAACCTCCCTTTGTGTTTTGGGGGGTGTTTTTTTGTTGTTGTTGTTTTGGTTTTTTTGTTGTTTTGTTTGTTTTGTTTTGTTGTTGTTGTTTGTTTGTTTTTGGTTTTTTTGTTTTGTTTCGTTTTTGTTTTGTTTTGTTTGTTTGTTTTTTTGGGGCTTTCGGTGTCTTCGGTTGGATTCTGGAAGCTCTGAGAAGATGATGGTGTGGCATACCTTTTGTCAGAACACTCTAGAACTGTGTAATAGGTATGTACGGGATGGTTGCTGAGATGATTGGGGGGATCACTTTGGATTTACGCTCATGTGTCTGCCAACATTGACGTTTCAAGACCGACCACTCAAGAGGCCTCGTCTGCATTGAACTTTCAACAGCTGTCAACAAACTTCAATCAGTATATCTACAAGGATCAAGACTTGGCTGACTATAGACATTTAGTTAATATTTTAGATTTGTGACCCAATCGTATTGCATTAGAAACCTGTACTGTCATTCAGTGTAACCTTGTGTATCTTTTATTCAAAATATAATTAAATATTATAGACTCGTTTGTGTTTTATTTTACTGGTTTAAAGGGGACCCACAAGAACTTTCTAAGCCGTAACAATACTTAAAGAGGTTTAAAGATATACACTTCACCGATGATGAGAGGTATACGAGTGGACTCTTGTCAAATGTTGTTTTATTTTTTATATATTTTCTTTTACTTGAATCACGTCTTTCAATTTGACTTGACTTTGCATGTGTTTGTGACAAGTATCACGCTTACAGTTTTGCGAACGCCCGGTGTCATCAATATTTCATAGTGTTCAGAAACACATGCTTAATATGTATAGTCGGAATTGTATAATGAACTCTGCGCAGAGATTTCTAGCGAGTATTGAAACGATTTTGTTACATTCATCAAACACATTTTACAATCAACTGAGATTCGGTTTTCGGAGTCCCAGAGCCTAAAACTCCTTTTTAACTATTAGTATCCAGTACCACCAAAGGTAAAGGAACGTATCAATAAAAGCCTATAACAATACAATTGGTTTTGGGGATTTGATACGGCTCTGTGACTTTGACGTGTATGTTAAATCTTCCAAGACAGTGGGTATAAACACAAGATGTGTATCTGTGTGGTCCTGGAGGTATAAATCAATGGCAGATAGTTAGATTTTGAATTTGATTTCACTATATATTTATTCATTTATCGATCAAACTTTTCCCATGCGTATTGGGGACTTGTCAGCCAAGACTCAACAAGATTAAACAATTAAACTACAAAATCGTTACATCTAAAGGACTGACAAGCAGCATCACATCGTTGGTCAGAATTCTTGACGGTTTGTTTGTTTGTTTGTTTGTTTGAACGTCGCACTCAGCAATATTCAAGCGAAAAATGGTCGTGGTCTGTAAACAGGCAATCCAGTGATCAACATCAAGTGCCTCGATCTACATAGTTCGGATACGATGACATGCGTAAACCATACGACAATCTTCACGGGTCGGTTACGGGGCAGTCATTGGCGGATCCAGGAGGGGGGTGGGGGGTGTCCAGGGGTGTTTTTTTCGAACCACCCCACCCCCCTTTTGAAAATGCCAAAGACCATACAAAAGGGGTTCGAACCCCCCAAAAACCCACCCCCTTTGGAAATTCCTGGATCCGCCTATGCACAGTATTCTCATCTGCAGTGTTGGTTGTAACTTCTAACTTCTAAACGCTATGTAGTTGTTTGGATGCATTCAGTTTTCTTCTAAGTCATTATTGGCATAACCTTCTTCTCAAATTAACAAAATTTGACAGTTGTCCCGTACTTACTACACACAGTTCTAACAACATATACCAATTCTGGTTTCACATACTTTAACAAAATCTGGTACCAATGACGAAAGGATACAGTTGAAGTAACATATGGTTTATTAAAACATTTCTGTTACGTTCCAGTAACTGCTGCTCTCACAACTACTCATTCTTCAACAGCAGCAGCAACAACAACGACATCACTTCTAACCACAACTGAAGTTCGGAAAACTACAGCAGATCAAACGATGACAGAAACAACACCAACAACACCTACCACCACTACTACAACAACAGCTACAGCCACCGAACCTACTACAACACCTACCTCTACAACTTCTATTACTACAATAACCAGTACAACCACAGCACCCACAACATCTACCACTACAACCACCACCCCTACCACTACAACCACCACCACTACCACTACAACACCTACCACTACAACGACCACCACTACCACTACAACACCTACAACTGCAGCAACACCTACCACTACAACGACCACCACTACCCCTACAACGACCACCACTACCCTTACAACACCTACAACTACAACACCTACCACTACAACCACTACCACTACAACACCTACAACTACAACGACCACCACTACCACTACAACCACAACCACCACTACCACAACACCAACAACCACAACCACAACAACCACAACTACGACGACTGCAACAGCCCCTGTAACTGGACCAGTAACTTACATATACCATTGAAAACGTTGAAAAAAGTTGGACTGCCGCTCGTGCGGCATGTGTACAGAATGGAGGCGATATGGCGTCACTGGATACGCAGGAGAGGTTCAACGCAGCGAAGGTGTTCCTAGACGGTGAGTCGACTGGTATCGTATTGCAGAGTTAGAATTATATACCATCCGAGATACCTTGCCTTTATCTATATCTTGCTACGTGTAGTCATCATATGGCTGAAATACTGCTGATGTCACTTAGTCTTAACTCACTCACTCACTCTTGCAACATGTCAGCCTAAAATTATTGAAAGTATATAAAGGAATCAAAATATTGACACACGAATTTCCCTCCTCCCTCCGAGTGTGATTAGAAGAAAGATTATACCGTGACGTAACTTTAAATGACGTCACAATGTAACGGTTACAAACACTAGGGTTGCCATGACGTTACATTAGCGGCTTACAAGGACATTGGTAAATACAATGTCCAAATACATGTTTACCAATTCACAAAAGGACAGATTATTTTAATCAGATTTTTCCTTATATTAGCTTTACCATGAATTTCATCAGGTGTATTCAAAAAAGGAAATATTTTGAATTTTATTTCCATTCATGTTGCGCATTTATCGAAGTGAGCGCTACATTCTATCAACAGCGCTGTTGAATCCAGCAGGAGAGCAGCAAAATGACAAATCTAAATAAAACTAACATTGACTATTTACTAAGTAGGATATATGAGCCATTTGAATTATGAATGGAATGCATGAATGCTCAGCTTTATATATAATATATTTATATATATATGGTATGTTGTAAGAGAAACCAACCATATGCACGCGAAACATCGAACTGCTTTCAAATCTTGACTTGTGGCACTTCACGTCGAGGTATCCTCAGTTTGATATTTTCTCCATATGTAATCCTTTTTAATAATTTTATCAATATTTTTGTTTTTTGGGGGAAAAGAAAACACTGAAGTTCCTGTTTCTAAACAAAAAAAACAACTTTCGGTTTAATTAGTTATAAACAAAAACAATCCGAATGTTACATGATGGATTGGGTGAATATCCACATGCATAGTGATACCGAAAACTATCACAATCCATTTGAAACGTCAAACCATTTGGCTAGAATTTATTACATGGTCCGATTACGTAACTTTCAACGTCTTTATAACATATTTCTCATATTTATCGAGCTTGTAATGATCCGACATTAGCATTGTTGACGGCATGATCCTCGCAATTCTTTTAGTTGACTAGACAAGAAGAATATTTGAAAATACGCGTTCTTAAGCAAACTCTGAAAATAATAATAATAATCACAATATTTGTACCTGTATCCATCCTCGTGAAACCGGAGTCACCTACGGCAACGTACTCATCGAGGCAAAATATGCAAGAGTTTGGTAAAATACCATTGAAAAATATTTTTTAGAGATTCAAATTCCGGCGAAATGCAAAATTTATTGCATGAGTAGTCACCGTGGTTACCGTTGATTGACCTTCGTATCAACTGCTTTTGACTTATTCCCTTTGTTGTGTACTTTATTGCCGCCGGTATGTGTTTGTGTGTGTACGTCCGTGCGTGCGTGCATGCTTGTGTATATAGCAGGTGAGGTTCAACAGTGTACAGTAGTACAGGTGTTGGGGAGTCATCAAATTAATGGAAACCTGTTGGAGGGTAATTTGTGTTGTAAATTATTTTGTTTGGATTTCTTTACACATGTATGTTTGGACACTGTTTATTTAATACATGTTGCAGGGTTATTCGAGTTGTGGATTATTTTGTGGATTTCTTTACATATGTCCAACTGTACACTGCTTAATATAATCTTGTACGTGGTTGATTGCTACATCAGGTTGCCATCTCTGGTTGCCATCCTTGCCGTTTACTTACTTGATGACAACTTACGTATATAGGTTAATCATAAATTGCTCCCTTTCCTTTTTTAAGAGAGGAAAGATAAAGGACTCACCCTGGCCAACAGTGTGTGGGTTGGAATCACCCGAAATAGCGCTGACGGACAACTCTACTGGACTAACGGTGCCCTCATGGACGCAAGCGACATATGGTCCTCGGGGTATCCACAAAGTAGCCACAAATGCGGATATACGTCCACTGTCAAGATGAAATATGTGACCTCCTTTTGTACTTACCAAGCAGATTTTCTCTGTCAGACTCCTGCTTAAATCACACTTATCTGGGATGGGGAAAAGGAAAATGTGTATTTTATATAAAAACGCCACTCGAAAAGATGGTTTATGTTCACCAAACAGATATAAATGGTAATTTCCTAATATTCCTATTTTGCAGCAAATACGTTTCCCACGCATTGAACTATATGTACAGAGGTTTCTATACACTACAGATATACCTATATACACTACCGCGTCTGCTCTCAGTAATCTGCTTATTGACTTGTATATTTTTCGCGTCTTAGTGCATCATGTAAATCAGACTGATGCTTTTTTTTTCAATGTTGAGTGTTGTACAGTCACAATCTCTGCAATCATATGTGTTAGTAAAGGCAAATATCGACGCGAAAATTATGAGGAAATTATAGTGAGTGAGTTTAGTTTTACGCCGCACTCAGCAATATTCCAGCTATATGGCGGCTAAGGAAATTATACTGAAAATCAGTGATAACATTAGGTGAGTATGTCATGCTATATGATATTGGTACCTCTTCCGATAACACAAACTATTTGTTCAAGGTTACACAATACCTAGTTTGTCCGTAGACTTGCATAGCACTGTTATATTCTTAACAATTGAGTTACATGTAATAACAACGTGTGTGCAGTTTGAAAGAAGAAGCATAAACATTGACAAGCTTTGTCAGTTACTCTTTCGAACACTAAATGGCACCTGTTTCTATATGTTTGTAGTCACATTCATCACATGTCACTCTGGAAACAATCTTTGTTAATATTGATACACATTTTATTTACTTAAAGAAACTAAGTTTAAAAACTCACATAGAAATCGTACACAAGATGATCCAGTCACAGCTGTCAGATGTCTCAATCTGCACTGAACGCTGCTGTGAAAACTGCTGGCTGAGAGACTGATTCTGATTTGGTGGAGCAGAGTCTCTAACTGTGGGCACCAGCAAGGACAGAACATGCTGGGTCTTCTGCGGGTGTCCTCCTTGTATTGCTTGACAATGATCCGTCGCTTCAATATTTGCCGGGTCAGAAAAGATCGTAAGAGGCGGCTAAAAGGTAGTGAGGCTCGCTGACTTGGTTGACACATGTCATCGTATCCCAGTTGCGTAGAGAGATGCTCATGATGTTGATTCTCCAGTCCCGGCTCGAATATTTACGGAACGCCACCATATAGCTGGAATATTGCTGAGTACAAAACGCTTCAATATTTTAGGGGGCAAATGTACCAGTGTGAATAGTCGTATGAACAACACATTGCACAACAGTTCATTTTCTCGCGGATAATGAGGATGTCGTTCATGTGGCAGTATCAATTCCATTGTGACTGAGTAGATATGTAGTTCTAACTAATTTTGAAACAATATCTTCTTTCCCTGATTGGAATCAGCAACTTAATGTATGATTGCTTAATATTGTATTAGCTTGTATAATGATTGGGTTTGAAGTTGTAGTTCTGACAAAAGGGACAATAAGCTTCCCTTATATTTTCTTCCCTTGTATTTCTGAACTTGATGCGGGAAGAATACCATTCACCGTCCATCAAATCAGATCCGTCCATCGAGACAGTCAATGACTCAACACAATTAGTTTGAAAATGGATACCAGTCACCTCTCTCATTCCTATTAGAACAAAACTAAAGAGGATTAAAACATCATTCAGATGCATATTGAACGCCAGTGCTCTATCGAGAGAAGATCATTGTGATATACAGGTTGTATTGTACACTTTGGCTTATCATAATGCATGTATATGACCACAATGACATCACAGTAACATCTACCCACATGTTGTATCTATCCATCATAGTCTAATATATTATTATATTGTGACCCATCAGTGTTTGAAGAAAATAAAGTTAGTACAGACTGTGTATTTCGTCTCTTTTTGTGTGTATATAACTAAAAATGAAAGAAATTTGAAATTTTGTACAGATAAACAACATCAACCGAGGCTTTAATAACAGTCATCGAATGTCCCAACGTACAGTTATTAACGTGTGTGACCCCCTGAGAGTCAATTACTGCCTGGCACCTCCTGCCCATGGACGTAACCAGATTGCGGATGACAGCCTGGGAAATTGCAGCCCACTCAGCCGCCAAGACGGCATCCAGCTGTTGTAGTGTCTGAGGTTGTGGTTGTCGCCGTCGCACACGTCAATCGAATTCATCCCATAGATGCTCGATTGGGTTTACATCCGGGAATCTGGACGGCCATGTCAGAACGCTGATGTTATTTGCTAGGAAGGTTGTGGTGATGCGTGCTGTGTGATGACAGGGCATTGTCCTGCTGGAAAACTCAAAAAGACATGAAACAAAACCCATTCACACTTAGGAAGGGTTTTCTTTTCTACAGTGTGTTATGCGGTGTGTAATGCTTGAACTTCACGCTGGAAACTAGTGTCATCCACGGTAATACTGTTCATATGACGCGTGTGTTAATGTAAATATCTCTGAGAAATAGAATATGAATTATAAAAAGTTCTCACATAATGACTGACTGACTGAGTTTAGTTTTACGCCGCTTATAGCAATATTCCAGCAATATCACGGCGGGGGACACCAGAAATGGGCTTAACACATTGTGCCCATGTGGGGAATCGAACCCGGGTCTTCGGCGTGACGAGCCAACGCTTTGACCACTAGGCTACCCCACCGCCCCTTCTCACATAATGTGTCAACGCGACTCTGAAATGCATGTTCCACCTTCAACGAAAGTTCTAACATACCATGTTAGCCAAGGGGTTTATTGTCAGACAACAACAGTGCTGTGATGTTGACGACCTCAGAGCTCACTTTGGTTTGTATGAGCAGAGAGGAATTGGGCGTTGGTCATTTAATGTGCATAAATGTGTGGGTGAAGATTTGACAAATGTACTACCCTTATATGAGAGACATGTTCTTGAATTTTAAGACACACATTTCAAAGAAAGGTACTGTAACTAGGTATTGATTCAAGTACAACCCGTCCGTTTATCAACACATGTCATCATGTCCGCGTCGTGGGATTGTGACATCGATATCTGATATCATTTTTATAGTAGAGCACGACCACACCCTTTCCATAGACATCTCTGCAAACAGCAGAATCAATTATAGGCTTCCGGCTATATCATGAACATGTGTTTATGAATAGCATCCATCATGAACACATGCATATGGTACAAGTCACAATCTGGGAATTGCATCAGACGTCATTTGTGTCACTGATGCGTCAAACTTGGAAACGTCCTAACCACGTCCAACATAAAATGTTTTGGAAAGCTTTACTCAGCCCTTGAATGTTGTAACCTTCAAACATCATCTGCGCAAGCGTCATATGAGGCTCTTTGAAACCTTGGTAAAAGAGTAAGTTCAATTTGTAATCAATGGTGGAGAACTGATTACTTGAAATTTTATTGAACGTTGTCAGATCGTCGAAGTACCTGTAGTTTGAATTAAACTGCCTTGTTCCGAGTAATCTTTAAGCATCTGGAACATCACAGTTTAATCCCTGTTAGTATAAACAAATTCTTGAAGCTTTTACACTTGTAAAAGTGACACAACGAACATATGACGTCACCATTGGCAAATAATAAACAGACAATAAAAAGGGAAGGACCCGGGCCCTACCGCACGTATAGGTGTCTACCCCTCAACCACGCCATGTACACCTTTGGAGGTTGGGATCCCATGGGAGTACACGGGGGTAGACCCCCTTCCTGCTCATGATTTTCTTTATATCCTCCACGAACAGCTCAAATTGCATTATTCAGTGGAAACATAGAGAACTAAGTAATAGGTTTAACACAAAATTTATAGATAACTCAAAGCTTAACTCCAACTTCTTTCGAAAGCTGCCGCGTGGTCTTCAGTGTTAGTGTTACACTAATACACATGAAGACACAGAAAGGTCAGAAAAAACTCCACCGCAGTGTGTTGCTGTCCGCGTGACTATACACATTATTTTCACTTTGTGCTCACCTTAGTTTTCTTCTTCTCTACAAATGACCGCAGTCTCTCCATGAACAGCTTGCTAAACCCTGTATCCCCGTTGGAGAAATATAGTCGTACAACACTCTTTGACCTACATAGAAATGACCATTTCCCAACCAAACCTGTAACTCCACGGTTACGATTATCAACATGGCACCTCACCAAAGCCAATAGGCCTTTGTTTTAAATCTTATCATCAAAGAAACTAAAACTTGACTCACGTATTGATGTTCACAACCCTGTAAAATATTCTTTGATAAATTCAAAAGTTAGCTCATGCATACTTTCCAGTCTTCATCATATTAACACATACCTATACCATGGTTAAGTGCCGGGAGAGAATTAAGGTCAAGCATGTCCTGCGTATCTGGGATGATTTTTCCATTACAAGGGATACATCTTTCAGAGTTAAAATAGTACCCCTTTTGAACCATGTACATTTTAATAGGATGTTTTCAAAAGACACTCAAGATACTCCTGAAGCTTGATGTCCAGATTTATGTATATGAATATTTGGTAGTGTGTGACCGAACTGCTTGGCAGATGTGTATCCGGACACAAAGAACACCTAACATCTGTCAACAAACTCGACACATCAGCAAGATCCAAGACCACATCATCATGTGGTGAGCTACGTAAGTCCTATCCACTACGAAGAACAGGCGTAAAAGAAGCAAAGAAAGGGTCCATAGACATCAGGAGATTCCAACCACTGATTATGTGTATCGCTTCCAAATGCTACGTCTGTAATAAACGAGTCCTGACCTGACAATCCAGTGATCAACATCATGAGCATCAGACTACGCAACGGATATGATGATCTTGACCAAACAATCTCTGAGCCTGGAGGCCTGAAACATTTTGTAGTCCTTTACGACAATCATTGTTGCGTGAAATTACACTTCTAATTAACAACTTACTAACACTATTCTTGTACTGATCCATCTAAAACAGTGTTCAATAGTTCAGTGGTGCGTTTGTTTGTGTAATAGACATTCCCTTGCTTGCAACTGCCACAACTTGAGGGTACACAAGCCATGGAGTTGACACGTCCAAGAGGTCCTTGGCCCAGAGTTTTAATCTTCTTTCAAATGTATCTGGTGTCGGTTACACATGGAAGCGATTATCGACAGGGTCATTTTCGAGCAATACCGTCCCTGGAAAATTATATTGTCATGGATTCTGCTTTGTGGGCTCGAGAGAAGATAGGAGGTATAAGTCGGTGCACTTTGATGTGTTTGGCTGACACGTCTTGTAGGTCTTTCTTCTACAACAGTGTCACTGGGAGCTGCATCGGACACAGCAACGTTCTTACATGGACGGCAACAACTTCTGCAGCATCGGGTTCTGTTTACTACAAAGGGAACATACAATCTGGTAAATCTTTTGTTCATGTACATTCTTAAATGTGTATTTTCGATAAATGTGTATTTTAAGGAGAAATTATATGTGAGGTTTTTCCAAGGTAACAAGTGGCTCTTTATAAACGAATTTCGTCAAAAAGCTGTTGATATGTTTCGTCAGAATTAGTTAATGACTGTATGACTGTATGATTTGACACTTGGCATCGTGACACCCACTTGAAAAGATGTGGTGTCAAAAGTCAGTTCACAAATTCAGTATCGTGTGTGTCCATCATTGGCGTATTTGGCAATATCAGCTAAAAACAAAGAGTTTCTCTGCAGTAATTTATGGGTTGCACTGGGTCAGAGAAAGACACAATGTATTTGGAGTAAAGCAGGGGGAGATAATTTTAAGATATCGAACACTCTCATGTCAATAAATGTGAATTCAGACCCATAATGTTACATTCCACAAAGGTCAGTTGTTATTATTTACATCTAAGCAGCTTCTGGGATTGATGTACAGCCCTTATTTCATGTCTAGGAAGCTGAAATGCACTACACTGAGGCATTAAGGGACACTTGTCGAGAAGATTTCCTAATGTATGAGGATGACCGAGTGATGGAATTTGGTAGTGAGAGTGAGACATTTGTGGTGCCTTAACTGGACTGGAACACTTAAATGTACTATATGTACCTACATGTCCAAGTACTGCAACTTCTACAAGGCGGTGAGAGCATATCAGGAAACAAAGGGTATGCTTGATAAGACACTGCCAACAACAGACTTCAGCCGGCTTACATCGAAATACCACATTGGATGTGAAGCTTCTTTTTCTGCTGTATTTGTGAAGATACACCTCCCCATTCACCAATAGGCATTCTACAAGCTGAAATAGTGTTGAGATTACATTAAATGTCAAATCATAAAATCTATAACAGCAATGAGACCGCAGTTGTTAATAAAACAGAAATTCATTTTAGAAAGTCCTATGGGTAGCAGAAAAAGGGGTATATTTTTTAAAAGGAAAAGAAAATTAGGTCGTTGCATATTCAAAGGGGACGAGGCAGAAAGAATTGATCCTTATGCTACACTGTTTGCATTTTAAAGAGCAAAAGGGTTTGTGACGTGTTCCTTGCTGTCGGTGGTAGAACACCTTTCATGATATTCTTACATCATTTGACTTCAAATTGACCCTCAGGAGATTAACTTAGACACTCACATTGCTGTGGCTTGGTGGTGATTTTAAACTAATTTGTTGTCAAATTCATTCCAACAAATTTAGAAGCCAGGGAACTACTACTTCATGGTACAAGACTCGCTCGCCAGAGGTCTTTCCCACTGTTCGACCACAAAGAGCAAACAGCGTTCATATTCTGGACACTACAACAGTCTATTCCGCTCAAAGAAAACAGCCCTATCTTTACTCCCAGTACCAGTACCTTTAAATTTGCCTCTACATTAATGCTAACATGTTTCCATGGTGAAAGAATAAACACAGGAAATCATGTAAAGTATGAATTACTGAAAAGTGCTCGAACCCTACAGGTTACACACCACCAAATGTTTTCCCATAGACTTCTATAGTAACCTTATAATTTTTAAAAATAGACAAGCTATCAACAGCCATTCCATGTACACATGGAATTTTTACACTCTGGCCTTTAAACTACAATAAAACACAATATCAGGCCAACTTGTCCGGCTCGTTTTGCGAGGACAGGAAGCGGAACACATCAACCCCAGTTCCGCGCAAATGTCACCTACTGGAAAATATCTGTACACACAATAAGCATAAGTCATGGTGATGAAAATGACAGCACAACACCTACCACTACAATAACCACACCTACAACTACAACAACTACAACATCGACCACTACAACCACCACCACAACCACAACACTTATAACCACAACAACCCTCACTACGACGACTGCAACAGCCCCTGTAACTGTAACTTACATATACCATAACATTAAAAAACGTTGGCATGACGCTCGTGCGATATGTATACAGAATGGAGGTGATATGGCGTCACTGGACACACAGGAGAGGTTCAGAGCAATGAAGGTGTTCCTAGACGGTGAGCATACTGGGATTGTATTGCCTTGTCAGAATTATACTCTTCCGAAAAAGTAGGGGAACCTGAACTTTCAATTTGGATAGGACGTATAAGCGTTAACAAACTTTTCAAAGACAGACATATAAAAGTATCACCATTTCCCTTGATCACCACTCCTAAACACAATGCATGGGATACACGTGCAGTAGCCCCATACACGTGCATGGGGTGTCATTTTGATTTTGAGGGTTTTCAAGAAGGTCGACACATTTCTGTAGACCATTCATTTTGACAATCATCTTGCATCTGTTGATCACACAGTTGTTAGTGTTTGTTTCTAGCCGGGTTTGTTGGGTTTGGTTTTTTTCTCAATTTGCAATACTGCGTATTCAACGTGATGAACGTTTACGTGCAATTGGCATGTTGCAAACAGGCACTACCCAGCGTGAAGTGGTTGATACCTTCAATGTTTCGAAGTCAGTCATTAGCAGACTTTTTTTTCTTTTTTTTTTATTGGTTCCCAAGATTAAAATATTATATATATACAAAGCCGTGATACATACGACTTAAATGGCTACATGATGTACAGGTGAGATATTACTGTATTAATATTTTTATAAACATGCATAATTCATTTAATAGATAATGTATAGATAATGTCAGGTACAAATCAATACAGTTTGAGTCATCTAAGTACTGGGGAGAGAAGGCTCCATTTATGATTGAAATTATTTATTTTATTATTTTTTGTTGATATATGAATTTTCACAAACAATATTTCTTTTAGAGTTTTTATATATAAAGTTAGATTTGGAAGCATATTTTTAATACTGCATAAGCGATTATGTCTCTTCGCAGCAATGATGATGTATTTATTTCACGTTGAGTACCAAACCAAATCATGTTTTTGATAATTTCAATGGATGTGGATACAAATTGTTAAGTCAAATTTGTAGGTTTATCCAAAGGGTTTGAGTCTCCTGACATTCCCAGTACACATGACACACACTCTCATTTACATCTTTGGAAAAAAACCACAAACTGTTTTCAACTTTTTGCATTTTGACCAATTCTTTTTTTGTGTAAATAATACCTTGTAGAAATCTATATTGAAAGTCTATAAGCTTTGTATCTTGCAATCCCTTTCTATATACAGTAAATATATTTTTCCAATCCAAGTCACTTTCAGGAAATAAAAGATGCCATTTATTACAAATGTTTGGATATTTATCAATACAAATAAGTTTATCATAAAAAATTCTGCAGCCTTTTGATGCTTTTACTAAATTTATCTGGCATTGGTTAACATTCAAATTACTGACTGGAATAGAGAGACAATGCTTTAAAGTATGTTTCCAAGACATACTCTGGAAAAGATATCATCAAACCCCAAATGTTGACCAGGTCAACAACAAGAGTACAGTATCGTTTCATTCGGAACGAGGCTTTAAGAAATCGAGCTGTAACGAGCTGTAATCGAGCTGTAACCCGTGTTCGAGTTACGGGTCAAACGGTTAGGAATCGTCTCCATGCAGCTCACTTGCATGCTCGAAGGTCCTGGGTTGTGCCAGCCTTGACTGATCGTCACATGGCTGTAAGAAGAGAATGGTGTAGGGCACGTAGACACTGGAGGTATCGACCTTGGTCACGTGTCATGTTTTCGGATGAGCCTAGATTCACTTTGGACTTCCTTAAGAGGAGTGGTCGGGTCTGGCGACGAAGAAATGAACGTCACGCCAACATCAACGTGAGACCACACGATCGATTTCGAGGTGGGTCACTTATGGTGTGGGGTGGTGTCACTATGACTGACCGAACCCGTCTCCATGTTGTGCAAGGAAGGGTCACAGGGCAGTACTACCGGGAAAACATACTGGCACCCTTTGTTGTCCCATTTCCTGGGCATTTGTCGTCATTTCGTCTTTCAGGATGACAAGGCCCGTGCTCACGGTGCACGTATCGTCAATAACCACCTCCAGCAACACAACATCTATCGTTTGCCATGGTCCAGATCTTTCCCCAATCGAAAATGTCTGAACCATGTTAGGGAGATGTGTGCGTCAACGTGAAAGGCCGCCGACTACGCTGGATGAACTTGGTCGTGCGCTTCAGGAAGAATGGAACAGACTCCCCCAACTGGTCATTGAGAGACTCATACGCAGTATGCCTTGTCCGCTGAATGAATGCCTGACCCTTCGTGGTGGAATCACACACTACTGAATGAAAGTCGTACCCATGCAAATATCACTTCATACACCAATCATCTTTCAAGAACGATTTCTGTTCAAACAACTATGGTCATAAGGAAGTGCAAGTGGTGATGCACTCTGAAAACATTCATTTTCATCATATCAACAATGATTTATCCGATATATCTCTCAATCGTAAATTAAATATGAAGTTCCCCTACTTTTTAAAGAGTATATATACTATCCAAGATTAGATGCCTTTAACTATATCTTGCTACATACCAGCCAAAAATTATTAAAAGTACAAAAAGAAATCCGCAAAATAATGACACAACACGAATTTCCCTCCTGCGCATTTCAAATTTATCATCAGGTAGTGATTACAGTTACAGATTTTACCGTGATGTAACTTTATAATGACGTCACAATGTAACGGTCACAAACACCGTGACGCGGCGTTGCTATGGTGTAACATGAGCGGCCTACAAGGACAATGGTAAATGAATGTTCAACTACATGTTTACCTATTAAACAATGGACACAACTTTGTCATTACATTATTCACCTTTGCTTTACCCTGTATTTAATCAGGTGTATTCATTTTCAAATATGTTGAATTCTATTTCTATTCATGTTGCGCGTTTATCGATGTGAGCGTTAAATTCTGTCAATGCTGCTGTCGAACCCATTGGACATCTCTAAATAAACCTAGCAATAACTATTTACCAAGTAAGATTTACGTGTCATTTGAATTATGTACGAAATGTATGAATGCTCAGATTTGTACATACACTTATATATAAACAGCCACAAACAACGGCCATGGTTAACTTGTGGCACTTCACGTGGAGTAGTAACAAACAAACAAACACACACACACACACACACACACCACACCTTTACATAAACAGACAAAACAATGATGCATAATGATTGGTCAGGTGCGTTTTCCGCTTAACCCTCCTTGTTTTCAATAATATGATAAATTCATATACTTTTGCATCATTCATTGTATCCTTATGAACAGAAATAGCCACATAATTATAAAAGAGAGTGTTATCCTAAACACTATATTCGTGTGCTTTAAAGTACACGGTCATACCGTCAAATACATGTAGTGTATCTACTCAAGACAATAATTCACGTAAATGGTATTAGTCAGTTTATGTTCTGTCGAAACAACGTTAAATTCTGACAGACCTTTCATACAATTAATGGAAATTAATTGAGATATAGAGAATCTCACCCAAGTGTCTTCTGATATCAATTATATCAACACGAGTTGATAAAGTTACAAATATCCGAGGCTTGCCGAGGATATTTTAACTTTTATCAACGAGTGTTGGTATATTTGATATCAGAAGACACAAGGGTGAGATTCTATTTATCATCCAAAATCACGCTTCATTAGTTTTCAATGAAAAATGTACATCTCTGAACGCAGTACTGCCATTAGGCTTGCAGTGAAGCGATGTTTTAGCATTGTTACGTCATCAAGTTCATGACGTCATAGCATTGTCAGGGCATTGTACAAAATCTACTGTCAAAGCGATATCCCCTAGGAGATATCGTTTGATCTCACACAAGCAATATCTCCTGTGGAACACAGTTTTGGATGATAAATATTAGTACTAATCAACATACCATTGTCGTCTTTCTCCGACCTCGCAATAATACATAAAATAAGCCATGACGTCAACTAAAATGTTTAATATTTTCATTACAATTTAACATATGGCTAGTACTCTGTTAATAAAGGTACAAAATTAGTAAAACTACATCTACATACATAGGATGGTAATCTAAACTAATTTACAATCCGCTATCACATGCTTTCTCGCATAGAGCCATCCAATTCGTTATTGCATGCTTTCTCATGCAAAACGATGTCATCATTTCATATAAATTGTTTTACTACCAAAACGTATCCGGTTACAGTGTTGATCTTTGTATTGGAATAGCTTGATTCACCATGTACAAAATATCACGAGAAATAGTGTCCGTATCCACAGCAAATGCTCTCTTAGAGACCTGAGTTGCAATGACCTAGTATATGCATATGCGTGCGGTGCATGTCTAGTACCTATGCATAGAAATCAATAAATTAATGGAAACGTGTTGGAGGGTTATTTGCGTTAGTTGTGGATTATTTTGTGGATTTTTTTACACATGTAATACTGTACAGTGCCAGATATATTCTTGACGTGGTTGATTGTCACATCAGGTTGCCATCTCTGGTTGCCATCCTTGCCGTTTACTTACAAGATGACTACTTACGTATAGACGTTAATTATAAATTGCTCTCTTTCCTATTTTAAAGAGAGGAAACAGAGAGGACTCACCCTGGCCAACAGTGTGTGGGTGGGAATCACCCGAAAAAGCGCTGACGGACAACTCTACTGGACTAACGGTGCCATCATTGACGGAGGCGACATATGGTCCTCGGGGTATCCACAAAGTAGCCATGATTGCGGATATATGTCCCCTTTCTCTGGGTATACATATAAAAGCTACTTTTGTACATGGGAAGGAAGGTTTCTCTGTCAGATACCCGCTTAAATCACACTCATCTGGTTTTGGGAAGAAGAAAATGTGTATTTTATATATTGGAAAAAAACACGACTCGAAAATATGGTTTATGTTCACCAAACAGATATAAAATGGCAATTGTTTATTACACTTTTTCTTGAAACTACAAAATCTAAAATATTATACTTTTTATCAGGTGCGTTTCCAAGGCATTGGCCAGTATGCACAGAAACACCTATATACTAGAAAAATAGCTGTATATACTACCACGTTTGATATCAGTACTCTTTGTATGATTTTCGCCTCTTAGTGCATCGTGTAGATCAGATTGATGCTTCATATCTTCAATGCTGAGTGTTGTACTGTCACAAGGGATATCTCTCCAATCATATGTCTTAGTAAAGGCAATATCGAGGTGATCATTATAAGGAAATTATACTGAAAATCAGTGATAATATCAGGCGAGCATGTCCTGCCTTTTTGGTACCTCCTCCGATAGCAAAACCTACTTTGTCCATAGATTTGCATAGCACCGTTATATTCTTAAAATTATGTGTGTGATATCAAAGCAGAAATATAAACACAAAATATTGACAGGCTTAGTCAGTTGCTCTTTCGAGCACCAAATGTCACCTGTTTCTATATATTTGTTGTCGCATTCCTCACAGGTCACTATGGAAACATTATTTTTTTGTTAATATTGATAAACATTTTCAATTACTTGATCAATGTAAATACAAGATGATCCAGTCACAGCTGCCAGATGTCTCCATCTGCACGGAACACTGCTGTGAAAACTGTTGGCTTTGAGACTGATTCCGATTTGGTGGAGCAGAGCCACTAACTGTCGGCACCAGCAGGGACAGAACATGCTGTCTCTTCTGCGGGTGTCCTCCTTGTATTGCTTGACAATGATCCGTCGCTTCAATATTTACCCGTGAAGATCCGGGTCAGAATTGGTCTTCAGTCATAAGAGGCGATTAAGGGTGGTCAGTGTCGCTGATCTGCGTGACACATGTCATCGTATCTCAGTTGCGTAGAGAGATGCTCATGATGTTGATTCTCGAGTCCCGGCTCGATTATTCACGGAACGCCACCATATAGCTGGAATATTGCTGAGTACAAAACGCTTCAACATTTTAGGGGCAAATGCACCAGTGTGAATAGTCGTGAACAGTGTGAACAATTCGCAGATAATAAGGGTGTTGTATGTGGCAATAACAATACCATTATTTTAATAACGCAGTTCAGCGTGTACTGTTTACCGCCCAATTACTCTATTAAGCTGCTTTGGCAAACTTTTAATTTCTTTATCAAGTAATCAACTGAATTTATATTTATAAAATAATGAAATTTTATCAGAGGCTCAGGCCGGCTTTAGAAAAGGTTATTCTACAGTCGATCACATCTTCACATTGTTTAACCTTCTCAAGTGCGGAAAAAAGAAAGTATAATGTGCATTTGTGGATTTCCAAAAAGCCTTTGATAACGTTTGGCGCGTGTGACTTTGGCTAAAGCGTACGCCAAGGACAGAATTTATCACCCACTCTATTTGCTATTTTTATGAATGATATTGAAATGTCTTTTGATAAAGATTTTTGTAAAGGTGTGGAGCTTAAGCCTGTAGATTTTAATGATATATTAGAAGATATCATCAAAATGTTTGTATTATTATATGCAGATGATGCAGTTCTCTTGGCTTCAATCCCCATAATCTTTTCATGCCATTTGTTCGACATGGAAACGTAATGTCAATATTTCTAAAACAAAAGTTTTAATATTTGGTGGTTCGAAGAAAGATTATGCGTAGTTTTTAAAAAATACGGGAGATTTACGTTAAGAAAAGAAACAGCTGTTGAAAAAGCCACAAAAGCAATGTATCTTGTTTTTAGAAAAGGCCGGAAACTGCATCTAGCATACGAATTACAATAACGTTTATTTGATTCCATGGGGTTGCCGATTCGTCTTTATGGTTGTGAGGTTTGGGGATTTGAAAATACATCATTATTGGAAAAAGTACATTAATTTTAAACTTTCTTAAACAATTAGCACTGTTAAGAAAAAGCACCCCAAAGTTTATGTGGTATGTGGAGTTTGCAATTGATATAAAATTGAGAATTATTTCTTTTTTTAGGGGTCGACTTTTAACAGGTAAATCTTCCAAATCATCCTTACTCATCTTGAAATTACGTTTTAGCGACACACATTTTGGAAAAAGTAAGCATAAATGGATAATGAGTATTAAACACATTTTGACGAAATATATCTGGAATTCCCAAAATTTTGAAATTTTGAATAAACTAAAAATTACAATTAAATGTAAACTAGAAGATGCGCATAAGTATGTGTGG